TAATATTAATAATTAAAAAAAAGAGAAAGATAAAAAAAAAGAGGGCTAGAAAATGGTGGCGTTGCCGACCCCAGTAGCCCTATTTAGCCACCAGACCAGTCTCATCAAACCAGCCACGTTTATGACCTTCGCCACCCCTACAACCACACTCTACAGACACCTACAGCCACACCTACAGACTCTTAGACCACCTTTTCGAACATACGTCCGGTTCTATAAAGACCCTAGCTTCCTCCCTTTTCAAAAGGATCGATTCACAAAAAAAATCTTAGCTCATTTTGTAAAAAAAAAAACCTCTCAGACACAGAAGCTAAAAACGTAAACAACCCAATACCAAAACAAAAAAACACAATCCTAAAAAAAAAAAAAAAAACCCCTGGTAGTAGGGATCTCAACGCCAAAAACACAAAAAAAAATTTTTTTTCATTTTAATTGAAACTTTGGGCCTCGATCTACATCGTTTGAAGCTGTTTCTCGTAAAACAAAGGTTGGATTTGAGTTCATGAGGTCGAAAACAATTTTTTAGGCATTTTTGGAATTTTTTTGACACACTTACCAGTAACCGACGACGGTGACCGACGACGGCATTCGACGGTAATTGGATCGTCGAAAACTAGGAAGGAGAAAGAAGAAAAATTCTGGAGGAGAGAGAAAAAAGAAGAGAGAATGAGAAGAAAGGAAAAATGAAGGAGACTGGGTGTTTTATGGGGTTATTTATAGTAAAATCAAAACGACGTCGTTTTGATTAAGTGGTAGCCAAGCCGCCAAGCCGATTAAGCCATTGACTATAGGTCCAAGCCGGTTGACCGAGCCGTTTAAGTAGCCTTTGAATTTTGACCGTGTTGACCAGAGGCATTTTAGGTATTTTCATCATAACTTTTTATTTCTTTTATTTTTTTGCTCAAATTTTTTATATATATCTATTATTTAATTTATGATTTTTTTGTTATTTTTATTTTATTTTTCTATAAATTTTTCATATAAAATAAAATAAATGATAGAAAATATAAAATAGTTTTAATTTAATTAATTTAAAATAATTACTAAACATAAACTTATCAAAATTTTAATGAACTAGAATAAAGAAAAATATACAACAATTGATAAAAACTAATTAATAAAAAAAGGAAGAAAAGGAAATTTTATCCAATGATGAGATTTAAAGGTATTCCGAGTAGTGATACCTATGAATCTCTAGGTGAGAAGATTTTTTTTAAATACTACAGTGTATTAGAGTATTTATAAAAAAATTTTCTTTTCTTGATAAAAATAAAATTAATTTATTTATTAAAATAATAATATAAATAAGGAAAGGAAATTTTATCCAATGACGGGATTCCAAAAGTATTCCAAGTAAAAATGCTTTACGAAATCCCTAGGTGAGAAGTTTTTTTAAAATATTACTAATGTATTGAAATATTTATAGAAAACTTCAATACAATAAAAATTTTTTCTCCAAAATTAAAAATAAAAAATTAATAAAACAATTAATAAATTTTTTTAAAAAGAGAATAAAATGTGTGCATGAACATGTTATTATTTGCATTGCATACATGACATAATTTTTTACGAAAAGTAAATTTGGACATCCAAAGATGAGATTCTAAGGTATTTCGAGAAGTGATGCCTAAGAAAATCTCTAGGTGAAAAAGAATTCTTCTAATGTTACTAACGTACTAAAACATTTTAAGAATAATTTCAATAAAAAGGTTCTAATTTATTTTTCTCGAATAATATTTGAATATAAAAAATAATAAATAATAAACAAAAGAAATCAAAGAAAATTATTTTTCAAACACCGAAAATAGGACTGTTTTTTTATCAAAATCAAAGGATATCATGTAGTTAATTGATACCGTTTTAAACGCGCGCTGTGGGGGTGCTAATCTTTCTCCATACACAACCGACTCCCGAATCCAGACTGTTGTGCAGACCCTAAAATTATCTTTTTAATAAATTTTAATTAATTTTAAGATTTCATTAAAATGATATGTTTTAATAGGTGATCAATCGCACCTAATCAAAAAAAGATTGATGGCAACTCCGTTATTTGTTTATTTCATTTTCAAATTCGTCAGGCAGACACAAAACCGTTACGACATGCAACATTGAGAATTCTTCGATGATTACTCATTTATGTCTCTTAAATAATATCTTAATTTTCCTTTAATTGGGCAAAAATTTCTCATTTTTAATTGTATTTATTGTCAAATGGTCTTTTATTAAAATCTTTAAAAAAATTCATTAGAACTTTGAATAAAGTAATTTTTTTTTCTTAGTTCTATTTTAATTTGATACAATACAAACGAAGGTAAAATGATTTTCATATTAAGTATTTTGATAACAAAAAATTATTTTATTTAGGTTTTATGTTGGGCTGAAAATATAATAATGACAAGATAAAGTGAATATGCCCTATTTGATAAATTAAAGTCAAAACAAAATATTTAGTGGACTAGTAGCATAGTTAAAATGACCATTTATCTGCCCACAAGAGTTAGTCCAATTGGTAATGAAGAGGAAGTCCATTTTCTTGTTAATCATGGTTCGAACTTGTGAGGAACATTTTGAAAATAAAAAATTGTAAATGCATCAAACTCATATAGGAGAATACACTATTTAAGATCATGTAAAGAATAAACTTGTTTATGGGTCAGATGAACTTGAACTTAGGTCGAACGGGCTAAGACATGGATTTTCAATCCCAGACTCAAGTTTATTTATAAATATAATTATTATTAAATAATTAATTTTAATTTTAATTTTATTTCAAATATATATAAGAATATTAATATATTAACATAAAAATATTTTTATTTTTAAATAATCTTGGGCCGAATCAATCCGATACGAGTCTGGATAAGGTTTTCAGTGGATCAACCAGGCCTAGCAATTGATTACCACAAACTCATTTTCAAATGAGAATGGACCCAAATATTCTTATTTTATTAGAAGCATTTATTTATAACCATTAACAATTTAGTCATTTCCCCATGAGCTAGAAATTGAGTACAAGAAATTCTCTTTTTCCTACAAAAAGAATCACAATCAGACCCGATCAAGCCGCCATTGGCTTCAAACATGGCCTGTAAGATGTACAATGTCCTTTCTATACTTGTCTTGCTACTATCATTTTCACTACTCATGGCTCCAACTTCAACCAGAAACACACACTTGGGTAAGTTCTAACAACATACGAAACATTCTCCTTAACTATTATTAGTTCTATAGTATTTCTTTTGTTATTGGGTTATTGTAGGAAAGAAAGCGAATGAAAGGATTCACAGAAATCTAATCCAAGTAAAACCACCGCCATGTCGTCCTCATGCTAGAAGTGGGATTATCTGTCCTCCTCCTTATGCTGCTGATGATGGCCAAAAGGAAAACTTTAGTTGGGCAACCCAGACGCAGGGCCTTCCTTAATCTTACTATTCATGTATGCTTTTCTGATTCAGATTTTATGTAGTTGCTGTCCAGTTTTAGTTGTTCTTCTGGCAAATTTCAACTGTTAAAGTTTGAGGACTCATTTGCTAAGAGGCTTCAAGTTGGACTATTGAAAATGGAAATTAATTAAACTAGCTTAGACATTAAATTTAAACCATTTCTCACATGTATTGAAAAAAAAAAAATTGCAGTCAGATGTAGCAAACTTAAGCCCCGGGGTTCAATCTGGGAAATTCCTATGGTTCCAAGATAAAGAATTCTCTAAAACCGGGGTCTGTAGGCCGGGGGTTCAATCTGCAAAACTATGTGCTCCCCTTGTTCGATAAGTGACGTCATATATATTTTTCTTTGCCAAAGTAATATCTGAAATTACTGTATATTTGATAAATAATTGAAATTTTTTAATGATTTTATTTTTTTAATACATTTGATAAGTCATTTTCGATGAAAAATGTTGAAAAGGCTATGTAAATCTTAGTTACCTAATTTATAAAATCAATTTTATTTAATTTTTTAAATTAATAAAAATTTTACTAAACAATTTATTTTCAATAAAATATCAAATAATTTTTATATCATAATTTGAATTTCTTAAAACTAAATATTTAATATTTAATTTTTCATTGTTCAATTTATTCAATTTATCAACAACTTATTAGGCGCTGATGATAATCATTTCCTTCCTGTGGAGCATGGACCCCATGAGCAGAAATTCTTTTTGACTTTCAAAACAAAATTAAAAGAAAAAGGTTTTTTTTTTATCATTATTGGAAAGACCTTCGATTATGTTTAAGATTTCAACATGTAAAGAGTGCTGTTAAATGTATTTTATTTTTATTTTTTACATTTTAATTTTTTTTAATTTTTGTAAGTAAAATTATTTAATTATTTTTTAACAAGTTTTAGAAAATGAATTTTTAAAAAATTTTGAAAGTTTTTGAAAATAAATATTTAGAAATTTTTAAAAGTTTTGAAAATAAATTTTGTCAAATTCTTAAAAGTTTTATGAAATCCAGTTTAGAAAATTTTTAAAATTTTTCAAAAATTCATTTTCAAAAATTTTGAAATGTATCAAAATATTTTAATACAAAAATTTTGGAAATTAAACATAAAATCAAATAAAAAATAAAAAGAACAAATGATTTGAAGTTCTTAAAGGTAAAAAAAAAAATTTAAATTTCACTCATTTGAAGTAAAAAAAGCATAAAGTCAAAAGTAAATCATTTGTTTTTTATTATTTGATTTCGTATTTACTTTCATAAAATTTTATGTTAAAATATTTTAATACGATTCAAAACTTTTAAAAATAAATTTTCAAAACATTTTAAAAGTTTTCAAAAATAAATTTTTGAAATCTTTAAAAGTTTTTAAAGATATATCTCCAAAAACCTTCAAGATTTTTTAAAAATTTATTTTCAAAAACGTATTTGTAAAAATAAAAGATAAATAATTTACTTACAAAAAATTAAAAAAAAAAAAAACTTAGGTTGTGAAGAGAAAAAAATGGAGTACATTTAACAGCACTCCAATGGACTTTGTGTTGATGTATTATTGTTGACTTGGAATTTTAAATATTTTTTGTTATCCTGAATTTTTTTAAAAAATTTGTAATTAATTATTATTTTTTATTTTAAAAAAATCATGTGAACTGAAAAATACTAAAAATTTCACATTAACAGTCTATGAAAGCTTCACAACATGATCACTATATCACAATTAACGATTTTTTTTATTGTGCTATCAATTATTCTTGATTTAACTCGTGATGATAACACAATGATTAAATTGATCAAAATTAGATCAAAATGGCAAAAATGAACATTTCACTCCAATAAAATGATTAACCAAATACCATTCTAGGTTTTAGTTGGAACTTTGATCCAAAGAAGGACAAGACTTGGATTGCAAGAAACTTCCTTAGCATAGAAGTAAATGTAGGGTGAGTTAGAAGAAAATTAGAAGGGCTAACATCTCACTCAGTCAGTGTTGCGAATAAGAAACCTCGCTTCCACATTGTTGTGCTTGTACATGAATGGAAGAGCTAATATAACAATTTCGTGACCATAATTGTTGATATCTGACATAAGCCATCACTGGCATTATTTCTGAAACTTCAAATATTGAATAAGAAAACCAAAGCCGCCATTTACAACAAGGAATTCTCAAAGAAACACTTGGAATGAACAACTAATGGAGCAGGATCTCTTCATCATGGAGAATGAATCCAAATATTCTTATTTGTAAGCAGTTATTTTATAACCATTAACAATATAGTCATTCCCTTCAACAAATTGACTACCAGAATCCTCTTTCTCATCTACAATTAAGTAGAATCCAATCCGATCGAGCTGCCATTGACTTCAGCAGATATCAGTTTATCCTTTCTATACTTGTCTTACTACTATCACTTTCACTAATTCCGCCTCCAACTTCAATCATAAACACATACACTTTGGTAAGTATTAGTCTATGTACTTTAAGTTGTAACCACAGGGACAAAAACAAGACAACTATCATCAGATCATTATGTTCTTGATAAGTTCTAGATTCTATATCTCTTTTGGTTTGTTCGGTACTTTGCTTTTGTTTTTGGGTCGTTTTTGTAGGAAAGAGGGTCAATGAATTCAGAGAAATCTAATAGAGGAAAAGTATCAATATGCCGGATTCATGCATGAAGCGGTTATCTCCTACACAATGTCCACCTCCTGATGTCAACAGCAAGAACAAAAAATCTACTTGCGTAACCAAGGGCCATAACTAATATGCCTGATGGCTACAAAACAAAAACTTGCTGTGTAAGTAATAATCTTCTAAAATTAAGTAGCAGATATAGAAGAAATAAAGAGACAAGTGAGAAGATACGACAAGTGCAGCTGAGCCAATATCCTGAAACATAACTCTATCCCTACTCTTATCTGTTATTGTTACGCTTGTGATTTCAAAAAGTACTAATTTTGATGGTTTTTCTCGTAATGGTGTAATGCTCTATCTGGTCAAACTCTTTTCTCTCATTTTTCTCTCCTATTGAATTGAACACAGGTAAAAATATTTTTGTTTCTCCTTTTCCCTCATCCCTTCCATTCTCCCATTTTAACTTCGCCACAAAAGGGAAGCCTTAATTTCAAACTTATAGCTTAACACTCAATCTAAATGTCAATGACCACTTAATGTTTCCATCTTAATTTGTTGACTAAAAGATAGCTAATGCATTCAACAGCATAATTGTGATTTGACAATTAGATGATTCCTCAATAACTTAGAAGTTGCTAGAACGATGAAGATTATATAGATTCCTTTTTTTTTTAAACAGGATAACTGAAGATCATATAGATTCCATTAAAAGAATCTTACACGCAGTTTTGTGAGGCTGTTTTTGCACATGTTACAGATTTATAAGGGGTATATAATATATGTGTACTGCTGAAAGACCACAAACCTACTGGCCTTAAACGAATGATATGTGGATGATCCTCCGTAACTTGTGAATTTTTTACCTCAACTTAAAAGCCATCAGTGAACCCTTGCTCCTGTCAACTTTCTTTGCCCCAAAGTACAAAGCAATTCATAATCCTGCATATTTGAATGCATTAGAAATGCTCATACAAGCACAACTAATAACTTCCTTTTTCATCCTCCTAATGTAACTTGTAAGTATGGACTCATTGCCACCTACAAAACCCTCCTGGCATGGTATATAGCAACAAGTTTGGCATCTAAGACCACTAGTAATCTGAATTTTATGCGGGAAAAAGCGAAACTTATGGCAGTGCAGTTACAGCTGCATAACAGTGTAAAAGAATGCAATATGTACCTGTACAATAGACTCTGCACAAAGCTTCCCTGAAAGAACAGCACCTTCCATCGAAGCTAAATACTTTTGCTTTGTGTAATCACCCGCTAGATAGAATCCCTCTATTGGAGATCTTTGCAAGGGACGGCAGGGTTCACAATTTGGTACAGTTTTATATACAGATCTGAAATGACATTTAGCTTCAAGTTTCAGTAGGGAATCTAGTGACCAAGGTATGTAAATTGACTTAACACCTGCAATCCATTTAAAATAGGCAAAGTTGCATATAAAATTTAAATATTAATACATGCATTCATTGTAGCATATGTATGTACAAACATATGGTACTAAAATCCTGTTTAGAGATTCTAAAAGAATGCACTCAGTCTAACCTTGGTGTTTTAACAACATGGTACTTTACGACTTTTGCTTTGCTCTGATCTGCAGAAATTTCATCAGGAAAGAGCTTTGCAAGTTCCTTCATTGTAGCGTCAATAATTTCTGAGTCACTTCGTGCAATCCATTCTTCTGCAGGAGCAAAAACTAACTCCAACATGGATTGGTTTGGATTGTAATATTCCTGCGTAAAACAATAAAGCATTAATTAGTGGTCTCATGCAGGAATGAGCAGACAAGAAGCTAATGCATTTTGCCTCTCTTTATATAATGTAAAAAAAATTAAAAAGTGGGGTTGAAAGGCTTATATCTCTGGGTGTATCTTTTTGTTATTTTATAGTTATTACTTTCTGAAACTTTCCTTTTTTTCTCAATTCTCATGGCAGGTTGAGTCAAAATTACACTTTCACTTCCAAATGTTCTTTGGATTTGAAAGTTAGGATTGAATAGGTTCACCTGCCAAGGCTAAGTCAAGTCCATAGCATCTGCCATTTCATGGTTTCAACATACAACCTTGTTTCAAGATTTGGAACCTGTCATGATACATTTCCACTCATTCCTTCATTTATTTTCCTTTTGAAAGATGTCAACGAACAATTAATAACTATAGATTTTTCATTAGATATTTTCATGTTAATGGAAGAAGACATGCTCATGGTTACTGTGTCTCATCTAGGTGGTGCATTGGCCAAAAAAAAAATCTAGGTGGTTCCACACTAGCATAATTACCCACACATCTGCAAAAACCATTGAACAGACAATTCAAATAGTAAGTTTTTTTTTTTTCTTTTTCTTTTTCAAGCATGAAAATTATTAGTACATAAAATTCAGGTTTTAACATCCAATAATTTTGTTATGCAACGAAGGCACATTGTAGTTAAGACATGTAATTCTACCATACACACTGAACAATTCTAGGAAGATTGTAAATAATGTCACTGATATCCAATATCTAGGAAAATGCTGGCAACATGGTTGCCTAAAGAACATAAATTCAACAGCAATAAAAAAGAAAATTTACAGAGTTTTTACCTTACATGTTACGGACATGTCGGCATATACACTTAAAAGGGGACTTCTGCAAGCAAACAAGAAAAATGGTTAGGAGAGTGTAAAAGAAAGTAGTTGATAAGAGAGGGAAATGAAAATGGAAAGAGTGAAAAACACTATTGCAATATAGTTTAATGCAAAGATGTCCCAATAATTTGGCTAGACAATTGAGGATAACCATTCTTCCTAAACCCCACAATCCCCCATGGGATTATTTCAGGTCATTTGAATCCCAAAAAACATTATTACAAATATTTAATAATTAAATTGTGTTAAAAAATAAAACAATGCAACAGATTTGCTTGACTATCAATAGGCACAGGCCCCATATTTGTCCTAATAATGCCTCTACACTAGGGTTTCCACATTCTTATAAGCAAAGAACTTTTTCCTCCAAATCTATTCAATTTCAACTTCAACATGAATATTAAAATTCAGAAACACAATTAGTAAAAATTCATAAAGCTACTAAGTCGCAGGCAGATAATAAACATTAAAGCTGTATATTAGCCAGGAGGGGGAAAAGGGGCGGATAGATGAAGTAGGAAGACCTGCTAAAGAGTAGATGATCATAGGTGTTCTTCAATTTCCTATCAAACCTGCAAATGGAGATAATTTACATCACTCAAACCAGGGATTCTTCTATTAACTTTTGAAGGAAAAGGTATAAACATATGCATATTACAGTCTAAGAACCCAAAACTAACTGTGTTCATAGCACTATAGAAATTAAAGTATCTACTTATAAGGGAAATAGCAAGCATGTTAAATTCATTTCATCAGTGGAGTGCCGTAAATTGATAGGAAATTGGAGACATAAATGCTTGTGTACAAGCATTCTGAGCAAAAACAATGCAGCATTCTGATGGGAAATCTCTGAAGCAAGTTGGGCACAATGTAAACCCCAAAGGTTTTAAAACATTGTGAATCCTCCACTTCTCTTGCAATTCATCTAATGCAAGAAACAACTTCTTGCCATCTCCACTCAACAATTACCTCTTGCATGTGAATTCCAACCATATCAGGCTGTCAATTGAGCTCCACTCCACATAGTATGAGCACTAAATGTACTCCACGACGTTCCTCTTGCATTATGACCCTACAGTATTGGACATGATATAACCTCAAATGAACTGCCCCTTTTTATATAACCATAACTAAACCGCCCCAGTTAGTCCCCTTTTCAATGGGAGAATAAGGGCATACCATGGGATATTAAACCAAAACCCCAGAGCTTTTTAGTAATTCTTAACAATGCTGAGATGCAAAGAACAAAACTGCACCACATAAACAACCAAAGGAAACGCATGCCTGCTTTTTTAAACTACTGTAAAAGTGGAGAAGTAAGAAACTAAGCAACCCCAGAGAGTCATAACACATGGTCAACACTCCTGGTTTATGCTTAGAGGGTGTGTCCAATGAACGGTATAACACAAATGATGAGCAATATATGTGGCTGAACAACATACACCAGTCCATTTCTCCATTTCTCCAGAATACTTATGATGTCAGACTCTACGCCAGGTGCACTTAACTGGATTATAATATGCTGCATAAGGACTCAACCATTCAGCTCATGGTCAAGATCAGAACAAGCTTCCACATTTATCGTTTCTTCCCAATCAGTTCATTTAAGTTTCCAGGTTAAATTAGTTGAAGAGATATCTATAGAAAGTCAATGGAATGTACTTACTTCAAAAAACACCTTTCTGAAGTTCAAAGATTTAGAAAAAAGTCGGAGGAGAGAGACAGAGCAATAACTATATGAACAAATAATAGAGTCTACTAACCATATGTGAACATTGATAACTGGAACGCCAACTAATTTCTCTAATTTCTTGAAGTATGAAATCTCTCTCCAGTCTTCAGGCAAAAGTAGCTTTAGGATATCAACTGATAAGACCAACATCCATCACCCATTATTAGAGAAGCTGGTGATACAGTAAAGCAAATTATATCATTCAATAGGAAATAAAGTATACCTGGAGTTGCAATTACATAAGCATCTCCTTCAATTGTATTGTCATCAGTTAGAAGAAAACTCTTCACAGTCCCATCATCATTAAGCTCTATTTTCTTTATTCGTGAGTTCAGCCGGACCTCGCCACCCAGTGATTCAATATGATTAACAATAGGCATGCAAAGCCTCTCTGGAGGGTTGCCATCCAAGAATGCCATCTTGGATCCATTTTTCTCCTGTGGATGGATTTTCATACTCTTAGAAAGCTAGTGTAATGTTGTAATACCCTGTTTTCCTTCCATTTTGTATGACCTTGACTCTATGTAAATTGAGGTTAATATACCAATGAAACCTTATTTGAAATACAAATTACAAAAGCATCACTAGCTGAAGATGCTTCTAGCATATCAGAATTACAAGAAAAGATGTGATCTCAAACTAACTGTAGAACATCCAGTATGTCAAAATAAAAATTACATATCTGTTACTCAATCTATATTAACCTAATTCACCAAAAGGACCTAACAGATTACCCTTTATATATCAATCTGAAGCAGAAATAAAAAGGAAAAAGGAAGATAAGGAAGGAATTTGCATTTTTTTTTTTTTTAATTCCTGTTTTCATTTTACTTATCAAAGGATTTAGTTCAGATTCAAATTGATAACTTATACAACAAAAGTCATTTGAAAATACATACAAATATGATGGCTGTTCACATAAATGATTTACTAATTGAGGATCACTTTGAAGCCAGTAAAGGTATATATTGCCAGCAACAGTATTAAAGTCGGGAATTGAGTGTATTCCATCCCTCTGTTGCCAAGAGAGGGAGACAGAGAGGGAGAAATAAATGATCACAAATTGCCAAGGAGATAGCTCAGCCATGTACATTGCTAGTGTCTTCCAAATTTCTGGCTAAAAACCATTGGAACACCAAAAACTAGAACGTCATACTACTTTGAGAGAAAATATGGCCACAACAAAGAAGACCAAATTATGGGTTAATTGAGGTGTCCATGTTTCATATCTATAAATTCCTTTGTAATGCAAATAATGTCATTACTACTGGCATACAGCACAGGGTTTCTGTTAAGAGCTAACAGTCAAGAAAAATTCAAACACAGATCATTTTAATGATTTTGTTGCCCACCTTGTATCCAATATAATCAAGTTGGGAACCATACCTGAAGAAATCTGTTTAAAGCAATCAGTATACATTGCATTGAAAGTTCATCTGGGTTAATGAAGTTCAGTGCCTTTGACATGGCAATAAACACCTGGTTAGTCACACGATCAGGTACACCCTGAAAACAAAAATGGCAAAACCATTAGTCTTCTTTATTTTTAATTCATTTAGCAGGTATTTGCTACTTACTGCAATTAATACCAGATTCATTAATAATGACGTATGGGCAGTATATAATGAATGCAGAGGGTATTGCATTCATTAACTGATAGAGTTTGCATCATTTATAAAAGTTCACTATAATAACATAACTCTGCGCATGGCAACTTGGTTTCTAATTTTTCTTTTAGTTACACAATTCCACGAATTCAACCTCTCCCCCCTCCCTCTTCTTTTTCCATTTTCCTAGAAGCATTGGACAATACTTTTCCCAAACTAAAAATTTGCCATCTTGATGTTTCATGTTTTACTCAAAATAATTATGAAGAATCAGCACTAAAATCGACTGACAGAGTCATGCACACATATAATATTAGGGACATAGCACAAAAATAGACACCTTAGAGGCTCATAGTGACTTAAAAGTTCAAAGAAATCCAGGTGCAAGGTTTGTTGCTTATTATACTTGAGCTCCTATGCACCTTTCTTAAGCAAAGAAAGTGTCATGTATTTGCTAATGGCTTAAAACTCTGTATCGGTCCCCATACATGCATGTAACCACAGGAAAGCAAATTAATTGTCATTATATGAGCAGAACTTCAAGTGGACAAGGCTCTTTTTGGAAAGTTTTTCATCAGGATGAACTAAGCTCAGCCTTTCCATTTATGTACGTGCTATTAGCCTCAAAAGGAGAATTTTATCAAAAGTAACAGCATACCTGCTTTTTCATCCACTCTTTAACACTTAAACCATCTTGGGCCTCAACATAAGGTTGTCCACCAAGCATTGCTGGTAGGAGTCCTATTGCAAACTTCACTTTCTCTGGCCAAGTCAGCATTTCATTGTTCTTCAAAATGGCCCATATCCCTGTCAGTTTCAATCGACAAGAAACGTAAGCCAAGTGGATGCATTGAATTTTTACTTTTGCAGGTGTTAGTGCTGGCATTCAGCATCTGTGGAGAAAATTCCACATAAATTTAAATGATAAGGGAAAAACAAAAGTTTCCCTTCACCCCAATGGGTCCAACAATATGAATCAGACACATCCTATTAGAGTAACGCAATTCATCACCCAATAAGACATACCTTCGTGCATACAGGCACACCAGAAGAAAAAAAATGATAACAAATTTTGTATTTTGGTCCTACATCAAAACCTTATAGAAGGAAAATCCAAGCAAACAATCTAGTGATTTGAATCAATCCAAGCAAACAATCTAGTGATTTGAATCAATCACACAAAAAAGATTAAAGAGTTGAAACAGGGAACAAGCCAACATACAAAGATATAAAGTGGTTTGGCACAATTTCTATCATGGCCACAACAAGAAGAAATTCTACCATTCAAAGATCAAGAAATTACAAGTGGTCACTCTCCCAAAACCATACATGCGACCGTCATGTGTTTTTCTTACTCACATGCTCATTGGCAGACTTAGAAACACTACCTTTCCTCAATGAAGAGCCTGGAAAGTTTATACACAAAGAGTAGTACACATGCACTAGAATCCCTCTTGACTTGAATATGCTGAAACAGATTCAATGTGTTATATGAAACTTGGACAATCAAACCACAATTATATTTTTATCATTTTAAAGAAGCTCAACACTTCATGAACAGAAGTCAATATTACGCCACAAGCTAGTGTAAAACAAAACTTAAAAGTGAAGTTCGAAAAGTAGCCCAACTCTCAAAGCTCAAAATTTCAAGAAAGCAAAAAACTAATCTTCAATTAAATGACATCTAACTTAAAACCAATTAACAACACGTGGAAAAACCAGTTTTGAATATAGGATTGGTCCTAAGAAGCCCCATCTTAAGCGATCTGGGATTACCACGAGCCGATGAGGACAACTAATGCTACAGTCTTATCGTTTCTATAAGTGAAAACAATTAAAGGGAATTGAAGGAAGGGGGGTGAGCAATTTGGGTGACTGGAATCATACCATATTTGTTAGAAAACGTAATGCCCAAAGTGTAAATTCTATAATATATTTTTATAGAGTAGATATAATGAAACTTAATTGGTAATTCACAATAAATACACAGAAATGACAAGAACAAACACCAAAAGCAAACTGGAATACATTGACTAACTTATAAGCTAGAGTAGTGACAAAAGCGAACAAACTTATTGCAAATATTAATTAACCATTAGAACAAAGTCTTGTTTATATCCAACCAATTAAATGGACACACACAAACAAGCAGGCGGCTTTATGTTTTATTTCAAACTTTGTTGCCTTGAACTGTTGGTAAAACCAAAAACACATTTTCATAGATTTGTACAAACAGACAGAAATTTTAGTTACATTGTATTTAAGTAGTTTACCATTTAAAGGTGCAGGTAGAACTTCTGGAAAATCAAATCGGCTGAACTCTCCAGGTTTATTTGGCATTGCAAATATCATAGAATGCTCCTTCCATTGCAACCGATCATTGATGCCAAGTTCTCCAAACAGGTTTTGCACATTTGGGTAAGCCCCAACTTGCCAAAAAGAAAGGAAATAATAAGAATATTTTGAGCAAAGGAAACAAAAATGTTTCAATCTATTAAGATAGTTTGGTACAATACAACAGTCAGGAGATGAAAAAGAAAACTATAGGTGGATAATATTGCCCAAAATCTCCACAAGCCTATGTATTTACAACTTTCAAGTACTAAAAGGGAGGACGATAAAATAAAAAATCAAATCAATTCACTGAATGAAATTAACAAATACAAGGCCACAACCTTCAAACATCTAAAGACGAAAACTAGGTAGGGAAGGCCTAGAAAACAAAAAATGTATCCATACTTACAGAATATATGTAGGCCTGTCTCATACCAATCTCCATCCTCATCTCTCCATGCAGCCACCTGTTAAAAATAAGACTAAACTCTAATCTCTCAAAAAAGACAAGGAAAAGGGAAAAGACCATCTTAAACCACATAGGTAAGCATGTCCTCATAAAAGCTTAAAATATTTACAAGCAGCCAGTTGAAAGAAATTTTAATTGCTAAAAGATCAACAATTTAATTCAAACCAAAAGTTTTTTCCTTTTTTTTTTTTTTGCATGTGATTGGAGGCTCAAGAAATGCAAGTTCAAAGACATTATCTACAGAAACTCAAGTTAGTTATTAATGCGGTTGAGTTTCTCATGGTAGAGACTATTTAATTGATGTTGCATGCCATAAATTTAAAAAATAAATAAATAATAACCTAAAGCTTCCTTAAACAAATCTTGCAATTAAAATTGTGTTTTCTTCATTAAAGATGAACCGAGAGATAACTCCTCATCTTCTGCACAATAAGATTTTAGAAATGATTCAATAATATAAATAGGTATAAATTTCTATGCAACAGAGTAGTGCAAAAACCTTTCCACCTAGAACATCTCTTGCTTCTAGCAACAGAGGTTTGTGACCTGCATCTGCTAAATATTTTGCAGTTGACAAACCAGCCAAACCTGCAAAAATTCAAAAGTGGCTAGTCTAGTCTAGTAGCAAAAACAAACTCAACTGATGGATCATGCATTATATCTAGAACCCTGTAATGACCTAAGGTATCATTCACAAGACTAATTCCTGAAACAAATACATTGCAAAAGGCATGCAGAAAACACAGAAGGAACAAAAATTTAGTTATTACACCAATATCAACCTAAGGCCAAAAAAGGGCTACATATAAATACTAGTAATAGCTTTCAAGCATGCAGATTCTCCCTTATCCATAATACAAAAACATATTCACCCTTGAAAGCTATCGCAAATGCTATCGGTACAATGAAACGAACAAGTTTTTCATATTCAAAGAGTCTGGACTCTTATGAAATAATCGTTACCTATTTTACTAGCATGCAAACCATCTAATTTTCAAAAAGCACAGGGCCCTCAATTGGCACAGCCTTCTAAACAATAATAGAAAATGTCACATCAACAAAAAAACTTGAACACAAAATCACAACCCAATGACAGAGTATGGAATTCTCAACAGGAAAACGTTTTCATAAATTTAGCTAAAAACCAAGGCAGAATGAAGCCTAGGCAAAATTCAGTTTATCGGTATGAAAATTATATAAATTTAAAAAAAAAAAAAGCTACTACAAAAGGCACAAAGAAGCCACAAAAAATTCGAAAGGGATAGAAAATGGATTTTCCAATAGACAAAGAAAACACATACTAGAATTAAGAAAAAAATCATACCTGCACCAGCAATTATGACTTTCAATGGCTTAGTTGGACGGGGAGCAGAACGAAAAGAAGCAGATAAAGACGCAGCCTCCAAAAAGTTAACAGTATTCTCAAGCTCAGGTCTTGGATAATCTATACAAAGCACCTGGTCACAGGAAATAGCAAAAATTATTCTTTCCACTATCACAAAAGGGTAAGATTTCCAAATATTCATCAACACCAACCAACCTGCAAAGGGCAAGCACCCTTACTTGACCCCTTTTTAAAAGGAATTCTCAAGGTATGTCCCATGGATTCACCACTTCTAAAAGCTAAGACGCTTCCCATGCTTATTGTGTTGCTTTGGAAGTTCAAATGCACAGCAGAAACACTCCCACAGAGACTCATTTTCTTCAAAACCAAAATACTACAGGTCAGATTTTTATGACCCAATTCAACTGCAGCTGCTGCAAAAAAAAAAAAAAGAAATGGGCAATTGTAGTTTATCAACATAAAGAAGAAAACATCAAATTATTCATAAACAAAAACGCAAAATAAACCCCGTTTTCCCTCAACAAAGCCAAAAATAATAATAATAACAACAATTCTTTGAATAGAGAAAAAAGGGTAATGGAGATGCTAACCGAACACCAACAAATCAACGCCAAAGAAGGGGTAGATTGAATTATTTCAAAAAAAATTGTTAAAAAAACTTGATTTGCCTTGATAATAGAAAGTGGGATATGGAAAGTGGTTCGGGACACAGGCAGAGGAAGTTGTGGAGGTGATAAGTTAACGTGTACGTATTTTTTTTTAGAGTGGATTTGGCCGAAATAGAGGGAAACACGACATAAAATCATATAAATGAACTTTTGGCAGATTGCTAGGTCAGTGGGTTGATCACTGTTAAAAGAATATTCTTTCAATGGCAATGCCTCAACTCACTCAACCAACAAACTACCAGACCAGAGCTATTGCCTCTAAGCTCTAAGCTATTGGTAATTTAGTGTCTCCAAACTCTTCGCTTTAACCTTCTTTTCAATTTGCTAATTATTTTGTTTTGTACAATGCAATTTGTACCATAAATCAGTTTTATTAAATTTTTATAGGACTCAAACATGGCATGTGCTGTGGGTGACAGTATTTCATAGATTGAGGTTTAGCATAAATCGATAAAGGATGGAAATAGATCGAATTGGGTTAAACCCTACGGACCAAATTAACGGACATTTTTAATAAATTTTTAAAAATATTATAATTGCTTAATTTCAGATTCATATATTTTTAATTGCTGGTGCACTTAGAATTAAAAATGTCAGTTAATTAGGCATGTTAGGTTATTAATGTCAGATTAATAAATTTTTAGTAGAAACCATTGAAAGTCATTGAAAGTATTAATTTAGAGCATGTTTGGATAATTTTGACAAGCTTAATTTCATTACAACTGTAGCATAGAAAATTAATGTTCATCAGGGATTTCTTGTGATGAACTGATGACTTACATCAGCTAGAACAGGTATCCATTTCTGCATAAGAAAAACTGAAGTAAAGGATGAAAAATTAACCATCTTTACCAAGACAAAAAAAATTCAGCAATAGCTCTAATCATATAGATCATATCGCCAGCTAAAAACAAAGGGAACTGAGAGGAAAAGTTCATAGAAAATATAGTTTAAAAAATCTCGGAAACTCATTCTAGGGTCCCCTCTTTTTCCAGCTGTAAGTCCTCTTACCCTATATCCACCTCTACTTGATCCTCTTCCTCTTGCACCGAAGCCTCTGTTAAATGATTTGCCATCCTTCACTTCCACAAGAGAATGAAGCAACTCATCGCAAAGAATGCAACCGGCATGCAACGTAGCTCCATCTACCAAAGGAGCTGTTTTCTGGGAGTAGGACAAGGTAATTACATTTACTGCAATAAAGTCTCCACTTCGGCGCAGTTACCGGGTCTTAAAACAAGTGTTCCGCTGCATTCAGGACAAGCACAGACTCATTACATCACTTTGATACCGGGCACGAAAGCCAAGAAACGTCCCGTTGAACTCATGGACCTGTGTGCTACCCTTACTTGTCACATCTAGAAAACGGCATTCAGGAGAACACATCAATGGGAAAATTTTACTTAGATTTTATAAGTGAATTTCGTAAAATGTTTTTATTAAAAATAAATTAATAAAAATTTAAATTAATAAATTAATAATATATAAAAAATTATTAAAAAATTATTTATAATTTAAATTTGATTAATATTTATTTAATAATAAAATTATATTAATATTTTTTATTAAAAAAATATATTTAATAAATATATTAAAAAAATTTTAAATTTTGTATAATTAATTTATGTGATGAAATTTTTTAATTTTAATATTATTTTTTAATTTTTATTTCTAATATAAAATTTCATAAATTTCATCTGTATTTTTTTCCGCGACAATATCCAAACCCAAAACATGAAAATGCTACGCGGTAAATACTAAAACGAAATTGATATAATAAAAAAGAAAAAGAAGAGAGATTCAGCATTCTTTCAAACACGTAAACGTGCTACGCATACAATTTAGAGTAATTTAGTGACTACAGAAGTTGTTGCTTCAAAAAATGTTATGCTGCACTAAATTCGACACCAACTAAGAGGTACAAAATTTTCCAAAAGGATTACTGTTTATCCAATACAGAAGCCATTACAAAAGGCATTTTAAGAAAAAAGAAAAAAAAAAAAAACTTACACAAAAAATTAAGCATTGAAATTTTGAATTGGTGTAATTCAAAATCAAGCCAATGCCAACATTTTCCTCATGGGTTTTCTAATTTATTTATAATTTGATTGAAAGGGTTAATAAAGTACAAAACTTTGCATTAACTTGGGCAAAGTTCAATTTTGCAATGCCAATAAAACTACAAGGACTTCTGAAAATAAGAGAGAGTTTAAGCATATTTGGCCATGAGAGAGTACGGAAGCAATGGAGAGAGCTATGCTAGGCTTCTCCGCCATCTCCAAAAACAGTAACAAAATCAACTTAAAAATAAAGACAAATTTTTAAATCAATTTTATGTTTTTAGCAAAAAAAAAAAAAGAAATTGAAAATTTTAAAGGCATTGTTTTTTTGTTTGTTTACCATGAGAATTTTAGGAGGAGACATTTGGGTTTTATAATTTCGAGTTCTTCCTTCTTTCTTGAATTTTTTACTCTGGCAATAAAACGACATAGTTTTCAGTTTAAAGACGGTCTCCCTTTCTCCATTTCCACCTCTTCCTAGAATGCCCAGGATCAAGCTGATAAAAGGACTAAAATACCCTCAAATCGATTAAAATTCCAACTTTTTAATTAAAGCAAGCACTCGCATAGCGGGTCGTGGCGTTCCTCATGTCTGTCGAGAGTCTCCCCATTCTATTGCTTTTGCCACGGCGCCGCTAGTTGTACAATCTGCACGAACAAAACACAAGGACGGCGACGACGACGAAGAAGAAACAAGCTACAGCCCTTTTTCCTTTTAAAACTGCTCTAAAAAACCAAACTTCGCTCTCATTTACCAAAGGTATGTATAAATACCAACCCCTTTTTTGTTTTCTTTCTTCGTTTTGATTTCATTATGGCCTTTTCCATTTTATTCATGTTTTATTTTTTATATTTGAATTTATTTTTATTCATCTGACTTTAAGTTTAATTTCAATGCTGAAAGTAAAGAACTTAGCTTGGCACTGTTTCTATATTTTATTTGTCTTTGAATATTAGTATTTTCTATTTAAAATTATATTTGTAGAATGTTTATGCTTGGTTTAAGCTTTAAAGTAAGTAAAGTAGATAGATTTTTAATTCTGTGTTTAATCCAATGTCAATGCATTTTTATAATCTGGGGAAAAAAAAGATTTAAAAAAAATATACGTTGTAAAAATGGAATAAAATGATTTTACTTGGTTAGGAATTAGGGCCTTTGGTCCTGCAGATTTTTGTGAAACTTTACTAACCCTTGATCTGCTGCCAATGTTATGCTAGATTAAACAAGATGCCACGGAAACCAACCAGGCATCATAGACTGTTGCCAGTTCAGCCTTTGACTTTCTCGCCATTTGCTCGTTCTGTTGCTCGAGTTGCCACTGCTTACCTGGTTAAGCATTACTTGCGTGATGCCCCACTGAAATCGGCAGGTTTTTTTAGCTGAATTGATTTTTTCTATCATGTTTAAAGAGAAAACCATTCTCTTTTTTATGCTTGTTATCTGCTTGACTTGTCTTGGTATTTTGGAGTTTACCTTATTGTTTTCTGACCTGAATTGTAGGTGATGAATTTAAGGAGAAGTTAGAAAAGGTAGACAGACAATCTGAGTCATCTGAGGATGAAGAATTTGATGTAAGAACTTAATTGTGGTAACATTGATTATACAGTGAAATATTTATAAAAAAAAGGGGTCTTAGTTAATTGTCCCTTTTCCTTGAAGGGAGTTGTCCAAGCAGATTTTGCCTTCTTTGATCCAAAACCTGATGACTTCCATGGTGTGAAGACCTTGCTACAATCCTACCTTGATAACAAGCAATGGGATTTGAGTGGTTTTGTAGACTTGATATTGGGACAAACCACTGTTGGAACTGTAGTTAAATTAGAAGATGATGAAGACAATGCTGTTTTTTCTGTAATTACTGCCCTTAACTTGGGGAGATATAAGGTAAGAAAGTTATTCTTTTGATGTGAATGATTTTCTTCCTACATGATTGCAGTGGCTAGCTTGCTTGTTATTAGATTAGGCCCCAAAATTTTAGGATGTAGACTTTCAGCTTTTGATTAAAATATGAATGGCAGTTAACTGTTCTCTGTTGAACTGTTTCCTATTGGCTGGATTATCTACTGACCTAACTTGAAATTGATTTACTAAAAGGTAATCCTTACTATTGATCTGCTAAATTGTACCATTCTGGTTTTGCCATACTTGGAATAGATTAATTGATTCAATAGTCTCCCTATACCTGATTGTATAGAATTTGAGCTCAAATCCCTTTGAGAGAATGCTAGGCCAAGTTAAATGACAACTACTGTACAATGCGATAGATTAGATGAGAAACAAACTTTTTGGGTACAGGGGAGGCCACAACTTAGGGATAGAAAAAGGAGTTGCAAGTACTGGGATTTGAACCCCAAACCTGCTAGAAGCCATCTCTTAAGGGTGATTGCATGAACCAACTAGCCTAAGTCCAGGGTTAAATAAACAACAAAAATCTTTTCATATGAATCTTTCTTGTTACGGAACAATTTATATGAATAAAGTTCCCCAAACCTGAAGCCAACTTGGTCATGACATTAAGTTTTATCTCTGGTTAATAGTTGCCTCAATACCTTTTAAATATTTTGAACCATGGGTGCTTTTGATAATTGTATCTATTGAGGTGTTATTTCTTGTGTGAACATGTGAAATTCTTGTATATCAAATAGGGTGGCTAAAATGTTGTGAATGTTGTTATCTAGGATCACAAGTGTATTGCAGAGCTCAAGGAGTTCCTTCTTAACATAAGCCATGAGAAAGATAAAATAGGAAACTTGAGATCACTTTTGGGAGATAAAGCACAGAATGTGGGTCTCCTGGTTTCCCAACGTGTGGTGAATCTTCCTCCTGAACTCTTGCCACATCTTTATGATGCACTGTTTGATGAAGTCTCATGGGCTACAGAAGATGAGGTTAGATGTTTAGTAATATGTTTTACTTAATAAAAATACATCTTCTTCAGTTAATAAAAACACCTATCATTGGAATTAAACTTACACATTCTTGTTTCACTTTTTGAAGCCCACAGAGGATATGCGTAAGTCCTTCCACTTCAAGTTTTACATAGTAGTAAGCAAAATTTACAAGGTATAAGATCTTCCATGTGCTGATTTTACTTTTTATATCAGCATTCTGATGAATTTTTTCCCTGACTTTGGATGCAAATCTACAGCGCAAGAATGCAAATCAGAAAAGGCCTTCAACCACTGACAAAGATGAGGCTCTAATATATATTAAGCCCGAAGAGGAGATTTTACATAAGGTATTGATGCCTTGATGCATGTAATGTGCAATATTTTATGTGTCTATTGGTATGGTTTTGTTTTTACAAATTCATGATTTCCTTTTAAAACATGTTTCAGCTGAGCATGTGGTCCTTCCTTTTTCCTTTGCAAACTCAGCAGGTTGCAACTCATGAGGTTAGTAGGACTCAAATTCAAACTTACTATCATTGATCCATTTTAGTTCATTCCCAAAAATGTTTCGCGGGTAAAATCCTTTTGGGAAATTACCTTGTGGTTTTTGAGATTTTAACACCCTTGTGGCCCACCCACTTTCTGAGATTTCAAAAGTGAGCCTTGAATATCTTGAGGTACTCTCCTCAAGTAATAAGGGGTTATATTGTTAAACTTTTAATGAAGAGAACAAATTTTCTCGATTTCTTTAGAGTTCTAAGTCTCAGTTTAAAACCTTATGGCTGTACTTGAAAAAGTTGAAACCAGAAGAGTATCACCATAATTTGCTCTTAATGGATGTAAGATACCTTTTTTTTTTAATTGTAACTCCCTTTGATTACCTATGGATGTCTTAAGTAACTATTACTTCAAAAACCTCATGGTAATCTATTCAAAAATCCGAAAAAGTTAAATTAGGTTCCATTTGGTCTTATTTTTGCTACTTGCATCTTTCTTTTTGCTTTCAGAAGCCAAAGATAAAATGCTTTTTTGGATATCAAAGCACCACAACATTTTTAGAGAACTAAAAGTAAAAAATATATAACTTTTGATTTTTTAACTCCATGGATAACCAAAGGCATGATTTTCACTTGATGGAAACTTTATTTTTGAGTAGGCATTTCTTTTCAGCTATTTACTAATTTAAATCAAGGATGATTTTGCTTTTTACTAGTTGCTTTTATAATATAACTAATTTTGAGGAAGCAAAACAGCAACAGAATACAAACAGCCAAGCAATGTTAAACGGGACTTAATTTGTGCTTTACCTTTTTCTCTTTCTTTAAGTGTTTGACGGTTATGATTTTGTTGCAAGACATGCATTTGAATATGACACATTGTTTCCTGAAATTCTAATTTGGAAAATCAAACTGTTAGTAACACATTATTGTTGTTCTTGTAGTCATTTTTTTCTTTTCAATGATAAAGTTCCCTGTGCAATGATTAAGGAACATTCTGGCATACATAGATTACAATTATGAATTATCTTACATTAATGTGTGTCAATTCTTTTCTTTTTTTTTTTATTATTGAATTAAAATTGACAATCTTATTAGATGGTTCATATGAAATTGTCCTTTATCTTTCTTCTTCAAACTAATGGATATAATTACCTGTTCTTTTTTTTTTTTTTTGCCAATGCTATAATTATCTTCTGACAATCTTTTTGCAGCTAAAAAATTACCAGTTAACGGGGATAGTCATGGCTGTCAAAGCGGAAAACATTTCCTCATTCCAACAGCAATTGCATACTTTAATAAATGAATCTTGAGTCTAATCGGAAGAATGCAAAAGTTTTGATACTGTAACGACTGTGTTTTTAACTTGAAAGATTTTGTCCAAAGGTTGTTGTTCTGGTAAATGTTCAAGATGCAACCTGATAATGGCTGGCCAGTTGGGGGAAGGTAGGAATCATCTGTTTCAAGAGTCCACAATTTTGTCAGGATAGCAGACATTTGAAACTGATTTAGGTTACATTTTTGTTAGAATGAAATTTTGTCCAGTCTCTTTGGCCTCATGGCAAAAGAGTTCTTAAGAGGACTAACGGTCTTGGTTTCGACTTTCAAACCAAGACTTCCTACCCTTTCCCATGGGCTATGCCTCTCATCCTATGTAATATAAAGCCAGGATAGCCTTTTCTTTTGATTCCATCTTATGGTGGTGTTATTTGATTTCATGAAAGGTGCCACTTGATATTTTTCACCTTTGTTGCTTTCTCTCATAGGGTGATGCTGCACTCAGGTTATATAGGTAGCTCGATTGTGGGAGTGGATTACTAACTTGTCAACCATGAATCATGAACATGAGTGTGATCATAATTAACAATTCGTGTATTCGTGTTTAGCTTTTTCATTTTCAATATATATAAAATATTAAAATTGTTATATCATAATTTATCACTTCAAACAATTTTTTTTTGTTGTGAAATTTATATATAGTTTTAGTTAAACTTAATCGTTTTTTATGTCTATTTCATATCCTCTCATCGTAGTATCAGGTTTAAAATTACCAAGTTTAATCTTAATCATAATGAACCAGTTGTTAATTGTAACCAAGCTTTCTTGGCTAGGAATACGTGACAATACCTACGCTCAGCTCTACACAAGCAATGGCTCCTCCCCTCAACCATGGCTCCATGATCTTATGATTGCTAGACCCATTTAATCTTTATTTTTTCCTTTATTAACTTACTAAATTATTGCTCTTTCGGCCTCGATGGGCAAAAAATCCATAAGAGGTTGAAGAAATTGGATGTTTGATGGAGCATGTATTTTAACACCCTTTTCATAACAGGGTGGACACTGGTTTCTTAAATACAAGAGGAAAAGCCCATGGTTTCAACCCAAGCTATCGTTACTCTCAGCTGACTCGTCATACTTTCAATAACATACTTTCTTCTTGCTTGTGAATTAGGTTACCTTGCTCCTATTAGATCCTTATGCCCACAGAAAAACACAAACATTTCTTTTTAGGTTGAAGGGTAAAAAATGTCTTTAAATTATAATTAAAAATTTTATTTAAATTTTTAATATTTTATTACAATCAATCGAGTTTTTAATATTTTATTTTAATTTAATTGAATTTTTAATTAAACGAAATTCAATTACATGTCAAAATTGAATCTATTAATCTTAAATGTATAGTTAATTAAATCTTAAAGGGATTTCAGAGAGAGAACAAAATAGAGAAAAAAATTATTTAATTTAATTTTCGTGTATATTAATTGCATCATATGATGGATTTTTATTTGTTTTATTAATATCACATAAAATTTTATTTTAATTGATAAAAAATTAACAGTGTTAATTTTTTCATCCAAAGAAAATTTTAATTAAATGTAGATAAATATTGAAAGAATTGATTGTAATAAAAAAAAATAAAAATTTAATTAATTTTTTAATTATAAATCAAAGATTTTTATACCCTTTAATTTTTTATTTTTTTTTAACTCTATGTCAGCCCATTGTTTTCACTCTAATTATGCTCACACGCATGGGAATTCAAACACAACACCTCAATTTTTTTCTCTTTTTCAATTTACAACGTATCTTGTACTAAAAAAATAGTATTAACATACTTACCCCCAACCTGAAAATCATTTTTGCAATGCACCAAAAATGGAAAAAAAATAATAATTTGGTGTCCCTTATCTTTGATTAGAATTAAATCACATTTCAATTTGAGTCTTTAACCAAATTTATCATCAGAACAAACTACAACTCACACAACAATTAGCATAATTCATAACTAATTTTGGTTCATTTTAAATTTTTTTTAACAATAGTAAACTACGTTAATTAACATGAAAAACTATAAGTTCTATAAGGATTGAAACTCCCTTTCTTTATTTTTTTATGTCCAATTATTTTGTTTACTTACCATAATTTCAAAATTTTCTATTTATAGAAGAGAATCAAGAGTATGCCAAGCGATAGTGAGAATATTACTTTTTTAAGATTATGAAAACTTCAATTATGTTATGCTTATTTATTGGTTAATAAAGTCAATTTTTTTAGTTGCTTAGTTAGTGTAGACACCTTAATTTGTCCGGACCCAGGCTCATTGGCCCTAGTTCAATAGGGTTTAGGCCTAAGCCCATTAAGCTTAGCTTAGATCTGGTCTAAAGGGGTCAAATTGGCCCAGTTTCCTTATTTTTATTTTTTATTGGTTTATTATTCTTAATTTTATTTTTTATTTATTTATTTTATTTTTAGGAGATAATATTTATAAAAAAAAAAAGAAGGACAAAAAATTGTAAATTCTACCATGCATAGGCACCAGTAGAATTGCAATTGGTTTCAATTTCTCTAGGATCATAGGTTTTCTGATAATGTAGGAACTCAATCAAATGAGGATTCGAAACTGATCAGAAACTCTTTTGATCTAATCCTATAAATATAGACCCTAGCTAAGTTTGAGAACACACAGGAATCAGAGAGAAAAAAAAGAAAACAAAAAGGTGAAACAAAAGCAAAAAGTATTTAGAGGTAGTATAGGATTTTTAGAAGTTTTTTTTTTTGAATTTTTGGAGTTCTTTTTCTGAAAGAATCCGGTTAAAATTTTTGGTGAATTTTAAATTTTTCGACTAGTTTTTCGGCCAAATTTAAAGTTTTTGATGATTTTTTTCAGATTCCGGTAAGAATTCAACCGAAATTTAAAATTGTTTAGAGAGAAGGAAGAGAAAAAAAAGGGAAATGAGAGAAGAAGAGAAAGGAATTCTGAAAAAAAATCGATCTTCAGCCTTATATACCTTTTCAAAACGACGTCGTTTTTGCGTTAGTAATCCCACAAGATCCATGTGTTTTGCCAAAATCCGACCCGACCTATAGCGCACTCGAACCAGCGACTTGTTTCTCCACTTAGGTTTCAGTCGAGCTGAGATCCCGAGCCACGCATCTGAGCCGTGATTTTTGGTCTTGAGCCGAGCCGTATCCCAAGCCTGAGCCGAGCCGTTTTTAGATTTTTGATTTTTTTTCTTTATTTTATTTTATTTATTTGTTTTACTTGGTTTTTTTTATTTTATCAAAATAAAATAAAATAATAAAAATAAAAATTTTGAGAATAAATATTAATTATCTAATGATAAAATTTCTAAAAATTTCGAATGAAAATTTTTATAAAATTCCTAGGTAAAAAATTTTGTCTAGATTTGTCCCAAATAATAGAATAATATAGATAAAATTTCAATAACAATAATTAATATATGTTTTAAACAAAAAAAATAAAAAACATAAAAAGCATAAAAATATAAAAAATTTTTAGAATTCAATACAAATTATCCAAAGATGAAATTTTTAGAAATTTCAAATGATAAATTTTTAAGGAATCTCTAGGTGAGAAATTTTCTCTATGTGAGAAATTTTCTCTATGTGAGAAATTTTCTCTAAATTTGACCAAAATTGTGAAATAATTTAGATGAAATTTCAATAAAAATAATTATCATATTATTTTTTTCCAAGGAAAAAAGAGAAAAAAGAAATTTCTAAATAAACCCAAATTGTGAAAATTTTAGAAATTCAAAAGAAAATATATTTTTAATTTGGCCCAAATGGTGGAATAATTAGATTTATTTCCAAAATAAAAATAAAAAATAAATCATTTTTCGATGACAGAGCCTCTTCAAGAAATCAAATGGGATTCTTGAATACTCTTGAGGTGATGAAATATTTTTTAAGAGTTTTACCAGATTGATGGAGAATCTTAAAAATTATTTTCAATATTTGAAACCATTAGACTTTGAACCTTAAGATAAATTTGAAATAATATAGTACCATCCCTTGGATGGGCATGTGAGGGTGCTATAACCTTCCCCATATGTAATCGAACTACCGAATCATGTTTTAGTTAATAGACCCGAACCTATTCTTTTAGGGACCCTTAGTCAAGTTTAGGAGTTCTTTAAAAGGATAGATTCTCTAGGTGACCAATCGCACCTAGATAAAAAAGATTGGTGACGACTCCTTAAGTCAATGTCTAGCAATAGATCCTTGGATCTAGACATTATGATAATTTGGTGACTCTATTGGGGATATTAGAGAGTCAAGCCATAATTTTTAAATTTATCCTATCCTTTAAACCAATGGCTTTAAGTTATTTGTTTACTAACATTTTTCCTTTTTTGGTTTCTTATTTGATTTATAGGATTGATAATTTTGTGTTCCTTCACACACACTATCACATGCATTTGCATTACATGAGCTCTATACCCAAGCTCAATCCTTCTTAGAAGAAAGTAAAGTACCAACGCTCTCGTGAGATGATAATCTCCGTAATGGCTAGCGAAATATTCCTACTCAAATTGAATCATTTTCGTTGGTAGCCTGTAATGGGTGAGGATTAGACTGCCTTACTAGTCTGTGATGGACAATAATGTAAGGAACAATTTGAGAACCTTTTAGTGGTTAAAATTTTCTAACCTTGCATATAGTTCACCCCTAAGAAACCAACTTAAGCCCTTCCTATCAATCAATAGATACAAACCAACAGTAAGACACAAGAAGGAACAATTCGTTATCCAACCATTTTGCATGCTTGATTTTGTGTATCTATATGTCATTTCATTCTCATGTTCTAGCATTTCATTCTATGCATCATCTCTATTATCATGTTCTAGCATTATCATATCATGATCATATTTAACACTATCGTTTGCATCATTTTCATATAAGAAATATTTATCGCATATCAGTTATTGATAAATTAGATCTCACACTTACATCCATGAAAAATCAAATGCAACCAAAGTCTACATCAATCCACTATGAGTCTGCTCATCAATTGAAAATTAAGTCAGAAGAGGGTCAAAAAAATAAGAAAATTGCTTGCCTAAGGATTTTATTTCATCATTATCCGAAAGAGTTAATCTAAAGCTACATCAAAATGATCTATTCGACTTAAGCAGTATATGAGGATGCATGAATAGAATAAGACAGGAGGAATTTGAGAATAGATATGGAGACATAGCTTCACTGTTATAGGTGCAAGTGGATAATAATTTGATTAGGGCTATCATTCAGTTTTAGGATCCTTCATATAGATGTTTTGTTTTCAATGAAGCAGACATGGTGCCCACAATTAAAGAGTATATGGTCCTACTTCATTTTAATCTAGTAAACCCAGACAAGATTTACTGGGCCAACAATATGGGCTATCGTAAAAAACTAGTGCAAATCTTAGACTTAGTTTGCCTCAAGTCGATTCAT